TTTTTTTGAGACGGAGTTTCGCTCTTGTTACCCAGGCTGGAGTGCAATGGCGCGATCTTGGCTCACCGCAACCTCCGCCTCCTGGGTTCTGGCAATTCTCCTGCCTCAGCCTCCTGAGTAGCTGGGGTTACAAGCACGCGCCACCATGCCCAGCTAATTTTTTGTATTTTTTTTTTTTTTTAGTAGAGACGGGGTTTCACCATGTTGACCAGGATGGTCTCGATCTCTTGACCTCGTGATCCACCCGCCTCGGCCTCCCAAAGTGCTGGGATTACAGGCGTGAGCCACCGCGCCCGGCCTAAATTCTATTTTTAATTTTCTCAGGAATACTCATTCTCTCCTCCACTTGACTCCTATAGTCAAGTGCTACCTGTCCTTCAAATGCTATTCATTCATTCATTCACTCATTCATTCATTCATGCAGCCAGGGAACCAACCATTTCCTGAGCACTGCTCTGCTCCAGGTCCCATGCCCTGGCACTGGAAATTCTCTGGAAAACAAGAATTCCTAGCCCAGTGTGAGAAACAAGTACCTGGCCAGAGGAGCCCTAAGTGAGCATGAGAGGGAATGATGAGTGCCTTCTCTAATGCACAGTTTATCCCCTATTGTAACTTCCAGGGCCTCTCTTTCTCTCTCTCTCTCTCTTTTTTTTTTTTTTTTGAAACAAAGTCTCACTTTGTCACCCAGGTTGGAGTAGTAAGGGGCAAAATCTCAGCTCACTGTAACCTCTGCCTTGTGCTTTCAAGCGATTCTCATGCCTCAGCCTCCCGAGTAGCTGGGATTACAAGCATGTACCACCATGCCCAGCTAATTTTTGTATTTTTAGTAGAGATGGGGTTTCACCGTGTTGGCCAGGCTGGTCTCGAACTCCTGAACTCAGGTGATCGGCCCACCTCAGCCTACCAAAGTGCTATGCTAGCATTACAGGTGTGAGCCACTGCATCCGGGCTCTCTCTCACTCTCCTCTCTCCTCTCTCTCTCTCTCGACAGGCTCTCACTCTTTTCTAGGCTGGAGTGCAGTGGCATGATCTTGGCTCACTGCAACCTCCACCTTCAGCCTGTCTAGTAGCTGGGACTACAGGCACACACCACCGTGCCCAGCTAATTTTTGTATTTTTAATAGAGATGGCGTTTCACCATGTTGGCAAAGATGGTCTTGATCTCTTGACCTTGTGATCTGCCCACCTCAGCCTCCCAAAGTGCTGGGATTACAGGCATGAGCCACTGTGCCCGGCCCTTTCTCTGTTTTTAAGTCAGGGTCAGACTTTATTGCTCAGGCTGGAGTGCAATGGTGTGATCCCAGCTCAATGCAGCCTCAATCTCACAGGTGCAAGTGATCCTCAGCTCCCCCCACCCCATCCCACCCCTGCTCCCAGGGGTCTCACTACGTTGCCCAGGCTGGTCTCCAACTCCCAGGCTCAAGGGATCCTCCTACCTCGGCCTCTCAAAGTCCTGGTATTACAGGCGGGAGTCACCCTGCCTGGCCAGGTCTCTCTCTTTTGCATTAGTTTCCTGTGTTTCTAGGGAATTGACATCCAGGTCCCCAACCTCCATTTGTTTTCTTTCCTATGATCCATCTTCAGGAGAATTGGCAATGACATCCAGGTGCTGCTTCTTTCCCACCTCCCTCCTCACATTTTGCAAAGGAATTTTACCCTAGAGCATTGAGGGTTATGGGCTGGAGAGGGAAGAAAAACCTCCAGGGCACCAATCAAAAGTGAAGGGCTCTAATGACAAGATAACAAGGAGCTTTGCATACCTGGCAGTTGCCAGATCTTTGCTTTCAACAAAAGGGAAGGAGGTTCTAATTCAGTTGTCATTAAAAATAACTTTGGGTGATAAGACACTGATTTTTAGCCTGTAACCCAGAAGGAATTCAAATTATTAAGTGACATTGGGTGGCTCATGCCTATAATCCCAGTACTTTGGGAGGCCGAGTGAGTGGATCACTTGAGGTCAGGAGTTTGAGACCAGCCTGGCCAACGTGGTGAAAACTTGTCTCTACTAAAAATACGAAAAAAATAGCCAGGCATGGTGCCACATGCCTGTAATCCTAGCTACTCAGGAGGCTGAGGTTGGAGGATCACTTGAACCCAGGAGGTAGATGTTGCAGTGAGCCAAGATTGTGACACTACACTCCAGCCTGGGTGACAGAGGGAGACTCCATTTAAAAAAAAAAAAAAAAAACCCGCATGGTGGCTCACACCTGTAATCCTAGCACTTTGGGAGGCAAAGGTGAACAAATCACTTAAGGTCAGGAGTTTGAGAACAGCCTGTCCAACCTGGGTGACAGACA